CACCATTATATTCTCTATGACACTAGGATCGTTATTTTTAAGTATTTCTCAACTTTCTTAATGCCGTAGAATTATCAAGTCCTAAATTTGGTTTCTTATATGATTTTCATTAGTGATTCATCCGCTTTGTCCTAATAAAATTTTCCTTCTAATGGTCGATAGAACTTATAGTTTGATTATTGATTACTGAACTGACAATTTTAATTGAGTGCAACCTTTAATGCATTGATATACATTTTTTTCATGGCAAAAATGCTAGTGTAGGGTCTCTTTGTTTTGGGTACTTTCATTTAATGCATTGATATTCAATTTTTATTTGTAAACTCATCAAAAAATTGTTATCACAAATAAATAAAATGAATCTGATGCCTAAATTCGCTGGGAAAAAAAAACTCGAAAATTAATTTTTAAAGAAAAAAGTGTAAACCGTAAACCGCCCGCACATTTGTAAATCCTCTCCGCACAAACCGCAAACCGCACTGCGGGCGGTTGCGGGTTGACTTTTTTCCAAACCGCATAGATGCAGGCGGGTCAAAACCGAACCGCAAACTGTACAAAACCGATCCGCGAACACCCCTACCTGCTACGATTGAGAGCTGGAAATGGGTTATTTTAGTTAATTTTTTCCTTATTTGGAGAGGTGAGAAAAATTAAAAAATTTGATTAAATAGATTGAACCCAACCAAAAATTTGTCTTATTTACGATTGATATTTTTTATTTTCACTTCGGTGTCAGTTCAAATGCCTTATACATCGAACCCAACTGAAATTGACTCCTTATAATATATATAATCTAATAATATGATGATATTAATAAGTAAAATAAATTATTATACTTAATTAACTTTATTATCTTTATAACTTAAGTTTGTAAACTCTTATTATATATTCTCTAATACTCATGATCCTTAAAGCCTTTAGTATTTTTTTAATTTTTTTTATTTGTATTTTTGTTGATCTAGGTATTGGAAAGTATTTATAAAATGGATGGATTGGATATGTTTGAAGTGGTGGATAAATAACTAATTCAATATTTTTACATAGATTAGTGGCTATGCTAAAAAGTGACTCAAGTTTGAAAGATTTCAAACCGATTAATGATTTGTTTGGCTTCAACTTTTTAGCTAAAAAAGTACAAAAGACAAAATATGCTAAATAAACTAATAAGATAAAATGTTACATCCAAATCATAATCACTTTTACTTTTTCTCTCACAAAAGTCAAAAAAACCAAACCAAACAAACTCAAGTCTCAAGCTAAAATAGTTAAAAAGTCAAAAAATTAACTAAAAAAGTGTATTGCCAAACAACGAAAGTCGCACTGAACTGAACTATTTCAATCGATTTTGTTCAGTACAGTTTGATAAGAGAAGTGATCTGTGTATCGTTATTCAAAATAATAAAACTGACATTATCAGTTGGGTGAAAAATTTACTAAGGCCTTGTTTGGCAAGGCCTATTTTATGTTAAAATTCACAAAAAGACAAAATAGGCTAAAATAGCTAATAAGACAAAATGTTGTATCAAACCCATAATCATTTTACTTTTTCTCTCACAAACATCATATCCAACTAAAAAAAAATCCAACAATATTCTCAAACACAAAATTTTAGCCTACTAAAATAGTCAAAAACTAAAGTAGCCTACTAAAATAGCCAACTTCGCAAACAAAGCCTAAGCCTCGGTTTGGAAAGATGGGTTGGGTTGGATTGGATTTGGAGCTATTTTAGTCACAAAAAGACAAAATAGATTTTTGTTAGTCTAATAAGACAAAGCATCACATCAAACTCGGGTGACTTTATTTGCACACCTCAATTACTCTTAATTCACACCATTATTCATAACTGTTTAATTATAATTTTACCTTTCAATTGAATATCCAAATTACCCTCATCTCTATTCCATCCCCAGCGACGGCGACGGCGGCGGAGAGAGGAGGTGTTTCGCGAGGAACGGAAGCAGAATCTTTGGGAATGCAACAACGCGTCATCTCTTTCGAAGTTGTGGCCATTGTAACGAGCTCACAAGCTCACCAAATCCACCGCAGTAGCAAGTACAATCTACTGACATACAGCAACTCTCTCTGTGTACCACATACTCTCTCTCCTCCACACTACACCCCACATCTCCACTCACTCTCTCTCTCTCTCTCTCTCTTATATATGCATCAACATGTACGTATATGATATATATCTATATCAAAAACCAGAAAGGATTGTGATAAAATTAAAATTAGTGCTAGGGTTAGTTGGAGAATAAGAGGGTAATTTGGTATTTTTTAAAAATTAGTGGTATGTATTGAGATAAAATTAAAAGTTTTAATTTGTGTATGGTGTGAATTGAGCAAGTGGTGTGTATTAAAAGAATTTGTGGTGTGCAAATAGAGGTACCCATCCAACTCATAATCATTACATTCTTTCTCTTACAAAAAGTCAAAAAATCGTTCCCAAACGAAACTTTTTAGCCACAGGCTAAAATAACCAAAAAGTCAAAAAATCAACCCACTTCCCAAACGAATCCTAAAATACCGATCGTACCAAACTAATTACATTCTTAGAATGACTATATGTACTTTATAATTAAAAAAAGTTATAATTTCATATTTTTTGAGTCATAATTTTTTAAAAAAAAAATTATAACCAAATACTATATGAGACATAATTAAAAATCTCATAAGTTATAACTAAGGAAGAAAAATTAATCATATTTAAAGAAGAAAATGACATGACTAGAGATGTATATAATACACTATTTCAAAGAGTATATAGAATAGAATTTCTCAATTTTTTTTTTATTTTTTACAAAAAAAAACTTATGCACAAATAGAGAGAGAGCCACTTCCCAAACAACTTCTCATTATTTGGTAGCCTCAAAGTTTAGCTCTACCCTTGTTAAGTTATTCTTCAAAAGTTAAACAAAAAGTATTAGATCATATTATTTTAACAAATAAATATTAAATTGAAGCACCATATAACATTATCTTACAAGTAAAAAATAATATAAGTACTTGTTACAATTTAAAAGAAGTAGTTATAACTTATTTTAATGTGATCATATGTCTGAGAGTGTTAATTATAACTTAGTAAGTAAAAATAATTTAAATAAATTAATTATTTGAAAACTAGAACAAAGTACTTGCCTTTTATTTTGTAATTACAATCAACTTTTAATTTTGAATAATTTACATCAAACATGGTAAATTTCTCCCTACTACTCGAAGGACACCACACACGTTAATCATTAATAATAGGGGTGTTTAACGTGGATTATAGGGTGATTATAACTTATTTTAATTTAAAATTTAAAAATTTTTATTTATAATTTTTTTAAACAGAAATAATTTAAATAAACTAAAAAATTTAATTATTAAAAACTAAAAAAAGAATATTTTTAATTTCTAATTTTTAATTTTTAATTATTAATTTTCAACTTGTAATAAGTTGTACCAAGCACATCAATGCATCGTCAAGCAGTCAACTCACCTCATAGTCATGCTCCAATTCACGGTCAAGATTCAATGGTCACGCACCTGAGCAGTTCAACAGACGGCTGAGATGGATTTTTTTTTTTTGGATCTTAGCTAGCCTTATCTACTAATCAGAGCTCGCATACCCATTGATAACCAGCTGGTGTTGTCGGCGTAGAACTAAGCATCCACATGTCATGGAACCCCCCCTCCTCTCGCGCGCGCTCTCTCTCTCTCTCTCTCTCTCTCTCTCTCAATATGGCTTATTTTGGAAAATAGAAAATATATAATTTATTAATTTTTTTAATAAAAATATATAAAAAAATAAAAAAGTGATATAATTTAAGATTTCATTTAGAAATATACTATTTTAATAATTGATTTTTTAACTTTTTTGCTAAAACTAAAGGTTGCCTGAAGTCTCGTTTGAGAATCGGTTATTTTAATAATTTTTTGAATTTTACAAAAAGATGTACAAAAAAATAGAGAGAATAATATGACAATTTATAATAACTTTTTAATTTTTTTTGACTAAAATGTATAGTTGACAAAGGAGGCTCAGATATGTTAATAAGTTAATTTTTTCTTAATTGTCAAAATAAACCTATATATTTAGGGAAAGTTTGGGATAAGTATTGATTGGTGAAATTTATTAAACGATAAAAGTTGATAATTATAAAATTAAAATTTTAAAAAATTAATTATTTAAAACTATTTTTATGTTATAAATTATAAAAATTTAATAATTAAAAAAATACAAGTCAAAAGTATCCATCTACTTTCATTAGGCAAAAAATAAAAATAAAAAATGTTACTTCTATTTGAATCTTATTAAGTAGAAGTAATATAAAAAATAGTTTAAATAAGTTAAAAAAAAATTAATTATCCAAAAGTTAAGGAGATGAATATTGGGATAATTGTAGAAAAATAGTATAAATTCAAAATAATTACAAAAAGATGAAATTACAAAACTTAATTGAACAATTTAATGCATAAAATTATTTGTATTTCTGTGAAGTTGTAATTATTTTGTATTGATATTATCTTTTATAATTTTTCATGAATATTTTTTACTTTTACTTTTTTATTATTTGACCTTTTAAAAAAAACGATAAGTTTTGAAAGTTATTAAAAAAGTTTTTTTTCTTTCTTATAGTGTAAAAGGCCTTTTATTTTTTTTTAACGTATGGCAAATAAGTTTTTCATTTATATGATTTATTTAAATCATCCAAATGGGTCTTATGGATTGTTTGAAATGTTTTAAATAAGTGTATTTTTTGACATTTTATGAAATATAAATTGAATTTGAACTGATGTGGTAGAGAAGTAATTTAATTTAAATAAAATAATACGGTAATTTTTTTACTTTTTTTAAAAAAATTTCAAAACTAACCTAGCTAGGTATATATACTATCATAGACATTATTCTCTCTCTAGGATTCTGTTTGTAACTAGTAACTAACTAAACCTGCTTTCTAACCATGATTAAGTGTTAAACCACACCTTTCAGTTAAATAATTGTGAGATCTCCACAAAAATGTGAGTACTAAACTGTTATTATTTTTTTGTAACCATTCTAGAGAGAGAACCCAGAGGGGAGAGAGAGAGAGAGCAAAGATCAAAAAATGGTACCAAAAGTGGAAAAGAAACAGGAAAAGAACGAAGCAAATCGAGCCCAGAAGCCTTGCTTTGTTGACTGAGAGTAGTGCATTGTGCGAGTTTCGAAAAGGGGAAAATTGGATTCGAATCTGATCGCATTCGGAGATGAAATCAGACAACAGAGGTGATACTAGGGCATATACATGTGTATGTGTATCTGGATGTGAATTTTTTTCCTGGATTTGATCTGAAAATGCTTCGAAGAACTGTGATGTGAGCGAAATGATGTGACCTGTTGGGGCATTGGGATTGAAATTGGTTGATTAGAGGAATTACAGCTTGTATTTTCTATAGATTGAAGTATTGATTTGTACTCATAGTAGATCGAGAGAGTAATGGAGTCTCGAATGGATCAGTATGAGATCATGGAGCAGATTGGTCGCGGAGCTTTTGGAGCCGCCATACTCGTCAATCACAAGCTAGAGAAGAAGAAGTATGCCCTCTCTTTCTCTCTCTCTCTGTATTGTTTTCTCTCTCTAGATTTTCTAGGTATTGGTAATGCAGCACTTTGAGAGTTATCATTGGGGTTGTTTTTGGATTGATATTGCAGGTACGTTCTAAAGAAGATTCGTCTGGCAAGACAGACGGAGCGTTGTAGGAGATCTGCTCATCAAGAGGTAGTTCAATTGACCAGATCTTGATTTGCTTTGTCTTTTTCTTGAAATGTATGTTTTTTTAAAAATAAATAAATAAATAAATTTTGGAATGTTCGATTCGTAGATGGCTCTGATTGCTAGAATTCAACACCCATACATTGTGGAATTTAAGGAAGCGTGGGTAGAGAAGGTTAGACCTCTTGTTTTTTCTACAATTGTCAAACTTGACTTGACTTGGTTCTTGTTTTGTACCAGCTGTTTTTGTCCTGAATTATTAGTTGTATATCATTTTGTAGGGCTGCTATGTTTGCATTGTTACCGGGTATTGTGAAGGCGGAGATATGTGAGTTTCCTTCAAATCTGAAACTTGATACCCTCTTTTTGTTTGTCGATTTCTTTCGTTTGATAGCTAATGTGTATAACCTGCGAACAGGGCTGAATTGATGAAAAAATCAAATGGGCAGTATTTTCCTGAGGAGGTATAATATTTCACTATGGAAGGTATTATTTTTCATGGATACTTTGCTCGAATGCACATCCCAAATGATTAAGAAGGGCAATTCGAGTTGGTAAGTGGGTATTGCCCCCCACATTACTAAGGGCTTGAATCCCTTTCTGTTTCTCAGTTCACTGGCTTAGGGAGTGGCGTTTGAACCTCAAGTCCCTTCTTAGTCTGGTTCCTTTAGGACCCTGTCTAGGATGGGTCTCAAGGGGCAATATAAAAAATAATGAGAGAAAATGATCCAGCAGTCTGTGGTGTATAATGTTGCTCCTTCATTTGTTTATTTGTATTTTCAGTTGCTCAGCCTAGATTTCAATCTATGTATGAGGGTTGTTAAGAATTCTGTTTTTTTACCCAGAAACTCTGCAAGTGGTTCACTCAACTACTATTGGCAGTTGAATATCTGCATGCGAATTATGTTTTACATCGAGACCTAAAGGTATGTAAAAACTATAGGTTAAGATGTCTGGATTGAATTTTCCTATTACCTATAAAGATTATATAGACTAATTTCTTTATCAACTTTTTGGCAGTGTTCCAACATCTTTCTTACTAAAGATCAAGATGTTCGCCTTGGTGAGTGACTGATTTATTTATTGTTATTCACTTAAGGTGGATTTTTCGCCGCTGATAAAAGACTTGCTGCATAGTTTTATACAATTAATTTTGATTTGTATCCAGGGGATTTTGGACTTGCTAAAACTTTGAAGGCAGATGACTTGGCCTCTTCAGTATGTGTTCTATATGAATGTTGTTTCCTTTGCAAGTTTTTATAATTATCATGGGATAAAATACTTCATGTTGTGTTCGCATTTCACACATATATCTTCACCCCAAAACATATCTAGAGATATTTGCAATATTGTACACAATTAGGCAGTATGAATAATTGCTTGGTTTACAAAATATCCTTGAAGTTGAACCTGAGGTGACATCAATGTTGGAAACAGGAGATTTCTGTATGTTGCCAAAAACTAATGCGGGTATAGACATTTAGATTTAAAGATACAAAATAACAGCCATTTGTATTTTATGACAATACAATAAATCTGTTAATTGTATGCCAAATTAGATGTCTTTGTTGTGGCAAATATTTCTGTGTCCTAGAAGTTAACAAAACAGAAATAGACAGACCCAGACTTAAAAACTATAACATAAAAAAGTGTAGAATGTTTAATATGTCTTTTGGTATATATATTTTTTCAGTAATACATGGATTCTGGACTCTCTTTTTATTGTAAGAAAATAAAGTGATTTACTCAACATAAATGCCATTTGGTATGTGATTCACTACATTTATAGATTGGTAGTGTAATCAATACTGTGGAGGGCATTTATGAAATTTCTTCTAAGAGTTGAGTGTATGGGAAAATTCAACTTTAGAAAGTCCCCGTGACATAATACTTCGAAAGAGTTCCAATTTTCAAAAAGTGCCTACTTTCAATAAGCCTCATGATGTGTTGATACAATTGATTTTGCAATTTGGTTTAGGTTTTGATAGAGGTATACCCAAATAACTATGATATTTTGAACTGATTTGTTTTTGTATTCTTTGAATGTAAAGCTGTTTACCTTTGGCACCACCTTAGGTTGTGTTTTTTTCTAAAGACAAAGAGACACGAATTTGCAATGCATTTCCACCGTGGAGCTAATAGTCATTTTATTTCATTGTCGCCAGGTAGTTGGAACTCCCAATTACATGTGTCCTGAACTTCTTGCAGATATACCATACGGTTTCAAATCAGATATTTGGTCCCTAGGTATTGTGTGTGTGTGTGTGAGTGCGCGCGTGTGCTTTTTTTTTTTTTTTTGTTCCGTAACTTTTTCCCAGAGCTGTAAACTTGAGCTATTCTTCTGCTAATTTTTTGACCAGGTTGCTGTATTTACGAGATGGCTGCTCATCGCCCCGCATTTAAAGCTTTTGTAAGATATTGTTTTCCTTTTGTCCTCCGTTTTTTTTCCCCTGTCCTAAGCTTCATGTCAACTCGTTTGAGTTGAGATAAAGTTACAGTAAATACTGTTCTTAATGTTGTGAAGCTATGCAGTTGGAAGAGTATGAGATAAGTTTACAAGGTTGATGAGAGCAAGAGTGTAATTTTATGATTTGAAAAAATAGTAGCACGATAATAGTTTGATACATATTGCATTATGAAAGTGAAATAAGAAGCTGGACACTGTATATCATATCAAAATTATGCATTCACTTATATGAGGTTGTTCGTTTGATAAATGGTACAATAATGTAGTACACAATACAATAGTACATTGATCAAACTCTTGTGCTCCAAATTATTATGTGCTGCTGAGAAATGGTGATAGAAAGGCTTGGAACGTTCCCAATGTTTTAGGGGAAATTTATTGCACAATCAATGACTGATGAAGTTCTTATTTATTATTTGCATCTTACTTCCTTTTTCAAAAAATACAGTTCTTCATTATATGAATTCCTCAAATAGTTCATTTTATTTTTTTCTGACTGCTTAATGCTGGAGTTTTACATTTGGTTTCAGGATATGGCAGGATTGATAAGTAAGATAAATCGATCGTCCATCGGTCCTTTGCCTCCCTGTTATTCCCCTTCCTTGTAAGTCAACAGATTCATGCACTGGTGCTAAACATGCTATTCTTGTATGTTGAATACAATGAAACCATTTTCATGGTCTCTTAACTTCTTGTTAAAGCCTAATCTATTGCTTTGCCAAGATGTTCTTCCAATGACTTACATTAGATCCTAGGCGGTTGCCTAGTTGGTGCTAAGGCTTTGAAGGTTCTTCCAATTGTAGGACTTTGTTATCTGTCTTTGCTTGTTTACTTGTCAATGGCAGCCATGAAATTAAGTATCCAGCTGGTTGAAAGCAAAGAAAATGAATTGAAATAATATTTTACGCGCATCTTTATAGGAAGAAGAAACGTCCATTCCATCTGTTTTGGTTTGTAGCTTTTTTTTGAGTTCTTAGTTTTATTCCATCTTCTGTTTGGGTGAGAAAAATGGATATGGTGTAGGCATTTAATAATTTGAATGGCATTTGAACTCATCTTGTTCATTGGAAGCTGGTTCTTTTGCCTAAGGAAGGGAGTAAATTGGTATTAAAGATTTTAGCTTGTTTAATAGGACCTTGCTTGGGAATTGGTTGTGGAGTTCTTTTTTTGAGAAGGAGAGCCTTTGCTGGAAGTGATGGCTAGTAAGTATGGTGTGATAGGGGGAGAGTGGTTCACATGGTCTGTTAAAAGGTCTATGGGGTGGGGGCTGGGAAGGGTCATGAAGATCTGGGATGATATCCTTAAACTCGCCTCCTTCAGGGTCTGTAATGGGCATTGGGTGAGGTTCTGGCAGGCCATTTGGTGGGGCATGGACTGTTAAGGAAGTTTATTCGTACCTCTTCAATATTATTGCTGATAAGGAGGCCCTTCTTGTTGATTCTTTGTACTTACACCAAGGAATTATGGTTTGGACTCGCTGTATAGAAGATCATTGTAGGATTGGGATATTGGCGAAGTTACGGAGTTAAATATCTTCTTTTCTAGCTACTCTATTTAGGTAGAGGTTGAGGATTATTTGGTTTGGGAGGAGCTTCAAACCAATGTTTTGAAAACTGGAACGGTGAGCAAACCAGAAAAGTGATCAGGCGGACTGGTCACTCATTCAATCACGGATGAACCGGAATTAAACCGTGATGTCATAAATAATTTTATAATATATTTGTAAAAAAATTAAGTTAGAAGGAAAGAATATATAATAAAATAAAATGAAAATACTAAAATAATGATATAATAGAATTGTTTTTTGCATAATTAGCAACAAGTGCATGAATGGTTTGGTCGATTGCATGTTACAATACATTCTGAAGGTCAGAGGTTCGAATTTCAGCAGGTTGCTGGTCGAACCAGCGGTTCAAACTGGCCAAAACAAATTTGTACCCAAAACAGTTATTTGGGTTACCTGGACCAGAAATTGAGACTGTTGACGGGCCAACCAGTTGGACCGGATGGTCCGGTTTTCAAAACCTTGCTTCAAACGACTTATTCCCAATGGTATCCTATCGATGACTTATTCCCAGTGGAAATTCTTGATGGATTGGTGTTGTATGTGTAATTGTGCCGGGGTCCTAAGGGAGCATGGGTATCATCTTTTGTTACATTGCCTAGTGGTTTCACTTGTACTGTGGGGCTTGTTGCTTACTGTCTGGTGTTGCTTGGGTGATGCCTAAATCAGTGAAGGCTCTTTTTGCTTGTTGGCATAGACGATGCCTGAGAAATGGTGATAGAAAGGCTTGGAACGTTATATATCCATGTTGATATTTAGGTGGTTTTTGGATATAGTTGTTTTTTGCCTTCGTATACTTTGTGTGTACAACATTGCGCCACTTTTGGTGCTTCTTTAATACAATTATTTACTTATAAAATAAAAAGATGATTTCCTGGGCTGGTTTGACATTTCACATGCCAGACCAACACCAAATAGAGGATGCAAAAGAGGATATAATTTATTGTGATGCCTGATATCTATTGAACTGCCTGACCAAATAAAATATAAAAAAAAGGATATTTATTGAACTACACTCAAACCATTTGGTAAAAACTCATTGTCACTTTGATCTGTTTCTAATCTTCGAACACAGAGGAAGTTATTAATGCGAATTATTAACTAAGAATATTGGTAGAACTCTTATTTCAATTACAGAAAATTGTCAAATTCCACGTTTGTACAAACATCGAATGTAGCATAATAATTATTAATGGTTGAACAAAAATGTTTATTGTGATATAATTTGTTATATCCTCCTACAGGAAAACTCTTATCAAGGGCATGCTAAGAAAGAGTCCTGAACATCGGCCAAGTGTAAGCCTTCACAGAATTTCCATTTTTGTTTCAGAAACTTTTTCTATCAGGACATGATCGTAATTCTCTAATTCTAATTTTGTTCAGGCATCAGATATCCTGAAGCACCCATATTTGCAGCCTTATATTGATCAATACCGCCCATCCTTTAACATTACTTCCTGTTCTCCAGAGAAGCCTATTTCTAGTGCTCGTGATACTAGGAAGACTTTGGTTGAAAGCCAAAGCAGTAACAGTTCTTGCAGTGATAAAGATAGTTTGGTTTCAACCGAGAAAAACATGATGGCAATGGCATTTAATTGTGGCAATAGAGGTACTGATACAGATTCAGCTTCTATTGATGATGAGGTTGGCTGTGAGGAGTTGCTAGCAAGTGATGAACATAATGGTGCTGATATCTGCACTCTCAAAATGGATGAAGAAGAGGTTACTGAACATTTTCATGCCGAACAGAGACCTAATGTTGAATCTAAGCAACCAAAAACTATAAAAAATATAATGATGGCTTTGAAAGAAGGAAAAGTTAGAGAAAATAGTTCCCCAATGAGAGGCAACCGTATAAAGGCTGGGGGAACAGGGATCCAGAGAAATAACTTTGAAACATTGCCTAAAGCTCCCAAACCTAGTCCAGGTAATCCTGGTTTCAAGGCTAACGTGGAGACGCTACCTTCTGCACAAGCAAAGGCCAGCTCTGATTCTGTGAAGCGGATTCAGGGATCACATCCTTTCAAGCATCAGGTAGTACAGTTCAATAGTTTCTGTTTTGATTGATATCTGTGGTTCGCTTGTCACTTACATTCATGACCTATCTTTGCAGTTACCCTTTGTTGACTCCTCTCCGAAGACTAAACCTAGATATGATGGAATTCCTCCCTCTGGTTCCACGAGACATGTTGAAAATGGACTTCCTGCAAAGTTAAGACTCAAAACACCTCCTAATCTGTCCAGAAGATCATCGTTTCCAGTACGGGTGAAGCAAATGGGGATTGATGCTCCAAATGTAGTGGCTGATACTGTGAAAGTTGGTCCAAGTGAGACGACTCATGAATTTGAAAGGACTTATCCGATGCCCAATGGCTGCCTTATGCAAGTTTCAAAAGAGATTATACGGGAGTCACATAAAGCTCTAGTGGGAACTTCTAAAGGACTGCAAACAGACGACAGCAATTCTGTCTCATCTTCAGTGTCAATTCAAGCCTTAGAGCTTTCTGATGATGCAACACCTCTTGTTGCCTTGACAGATCAGATACTTCATGATCATGAGAGAGTTAACCAAACTGACAGCGTAAAATCAACCAGCTCCTCACTTACTTCCCCATTCCAATCTGACATTCCTGAGAATCCATTTAGAGAAAAGGATGGACATGACAATAGATCTGCAGTACTTGTGATCACCGAGGCTCACTCAGATAATCAGAGCATCAATGCTGGTACAGAGAAAGTGAGTTCAAGTGTACCTTTGGAGGTTCCAAGTTGGCATCCTGAAGAAATTTCTGTTTCTGAGGATGAGAACACATCGAGCGGACCTAGTCTTGGGGCTCTTGAGGTCCCGGGGCTGTGTTGTGAAGAAATATTTGTTAAAGATAATAATCCTTCAAGCAGTAGTGAGCGTGATGTAGTGCCCCAGTTAAACCTCACCTCTAAGTCGAATGGTGACAAGAAATTTACTGTGAAGGTTGGTCCAGGTGTGACAACTCAAGATCCTGAGAGGACTTCTTACGTGGTGCCCAATGGTTGCCCAACACATCTTTCAAAGGAGATTATACAGGAGCCCCATAAAGCTCTAGTGGGAGCTGCCAAAGGAATGCAAACATATAACAACAATTCTGTCTCATCTTCAGTGTCAATTCAACCATTAGAGCCTTCTGATGATGCAACAACTCCGCTTGTTTCCTTGCCAGATCAGATACTTAATCATCACAATAGAGTTGCCCAAACTGAAAGCTTAAAACCAACCAGCTCCTCAGTTCCTTCCCCATTCCAATCTGACATACCCAAGCATTCGTTGAGGGAAAAGCATGGACATGACAATAGATCTGCATTACTTGAGATTTCCGAGGCTCACTTAGATCTTCAGACCATTACTACATGTACAGAGAAAGTGAGTTCTAGCGTACCTTTGGAGGTCCCAAGCTGGCATCCTGAAGAAATATCTGTTTGTACGGACAAGAGCCCTTCAAGCAGGTATAGTACTGGGCCTCTTGAGGTCTCAAGCTGGCGTTTTGAAGAAATATCTGATTGTAAAGATGATAATCCTTCAAGTAGGCCTAGTAGTGGGCTGCCCCAATTAACCTTCACCTCTATGTTGAATGATGACAAGTTTACTGTGAGGGAACTCCTGTCATCAGTAGCGGACACTACCCCTTCTCCTTCCCTGCCTGTTTCATTCAGCCAGAAGGATTTTCTGGCTGACAAAGGAACTGTTTCACAAAATCTAGCAATTGAAAAGGCAGGTGCTCCGCATCTTCCTCCAGCTTTCAATGATGTCATACATGTTATAAGGCACAGCAGTTTCCGAGTTGGGAATGAACAGCCAGTGATAGAAACTGTGGAGAGGAGTATGGATGTTGGGAAGCTGATAAATGTAGTAAGGGATGAAATGGAGATAAAAAACCTTGCAAATCCTTCAACTCTGAAATCATCTGGTTGCTCCGAAACTACATATCTGAAATCAAATCCGTCTGATAATTCTGGCATTATGGAAACGGAAATCAGAAGTCCCACCACCTCAAATCCAAAATTTGAGTCTTCTGAGCCAATAAAACCTAACAAATCAATTATGTCTGATGATTCTGGCATTAAGGAAACGGAAATCAGAAATCCCACCTCCTCAAGTTCAAAATTTGAATCTTCTGAGCCAACAAAGCCTAATCCTCCTGAGACAGAGGATGAAACTCCAGTGAAGGAAACCTTGGACGTCAAGTCTTTCAGGCAGAGGGCCGATGCACTGGAAGGGCTATTAGAATTGTCTGCAGACTTGCTTCAGCACAACAGATTGGAAGAGCTAGCAGTTGTTTTAAAACCCTTTGGAAAAGATAAGGTCTCCCCAAGGGAGACAGCAATCTGGTTGGCAAAAAGTCTCAAAGGGATGATGCTTGAGGATTCTTCGCGGAGTTCATAAATCATGTATTTTTCTGGTATGTTCTGTTTAATTTCTTGAGTATTGATATTGCTTCACTAGTTCGCAGTTATTGCTCTGCTTTTCACCTATTCAAGTTCCATTTGAATTTTAAACAGAATCATGCCTTTTGTCTTTTTACCAAGTAATTCTTTCAATGCTGTATGGTGTACATAGTGACCATATATATAAATTAAATAAGTTTTGTCTTCCAGGAAAATGTATGGATATGTTTTGTATAGAGTGGATATGTTTCAGTGTGTTTCTGTATAGTATCAGTTTAGGGCAGATGTATTCTCACAACTCCATAGTTATTTTTCTTAATTTCTTGATGTACACTTCTTCTAGGACCCATGATTTACCCTGCACACTGTTGGATTGTATACACCCTTATATGTTATGCCCCAATATTACAGTGATTGGTTATTAGTGGGCGTAGATAATGCGCAAAAATAAATATTTCACAGGTGAAAGAATAAGAAGTTTCTACGCAATTTTGTTTTGCCTCTCTAGTGGTTGAATTCTTCTTGGGAGGCTATAGGAAAATATGTTGGGTTGAAGAATAAAATCAAGTTGTTCTTGACAGTTGATGGTGGGGAAGGAAATGAACTATGAATGTTATGCAGAAAGGCCAGTCATTTTCTGAGTAGCTATGTATCATGTCTAAATGTCGTTCACGCTTATTATGGGTCATCTATACCACATTGTAGAATGATTCATTATTGTAGAAATACTTGGAGAATTGGGAAGGTACAATTTGATTATGAGTCCGTATCTTTGTATAATTATCATTCCTAACAAAAACCATATAATGATACTTCATTATAAACGGTCCTTTAGAGTCAATTTTCTTCAATCTTCATATATACAAAAGAGGCTCAATTATCCACTGGAGGTCCCTAGTGGTGGTGCAACCAAAAAAAATTGGGCAGATCTAAGTCCCACTACCATCACTGCTACCTCTGCCGCCGCTGCCACCACAATGGGCTGTGAGGACATGGCAGCCATATTTTGTATTGTCGTCTGTGTGTTTGCAGTAGCATCAACTCTGCTAATTGCGATCTTGACAATTGCTGTTATTCAAGAGCACAACCATTGTCCGCCAGAATTTATTGTGAAAACTTCTTAAAAGTCTCAAATATTTTTTCTTAGAACATGATTTTAAGGGGTTTTTAGTTTAAGGTCTGTTATTATGATTTTATAAAATAAATGATATATAATATTTTCAATAATATTATTAAATTTCAACATAGAGAAATTTCAGTACAGAGAAATTTTTGCTCTTCAAAGAAAAATTTTATATAGAAATTTTTTTTTGTAACGAGTTGAAATTTTTTAAATAATATTATTGAGGGACTTTAACTAATAAAAAATATATATTGGATCTCTACTGCTAAATGTTAGAATGGAATATTTCATTAATTTTTTAAAAAAATAATTTACAAAATAGTTTTTTTTGAACTCATAAAAATGTAAAAAACTTAATAAAGATAGTCAAAATCCAAACCATACTTTTTTCTATTTTTTTTCCTTTTATCATGCAAAAAGAAAATGCAGCCAAGACAAGGAGAGATTCATAGGAATATTATATTAGATAATGGCCCCGTTTGGTAGGGTTTATTTTCAGCTTATTTCAGCTTTTAGATTAATTTAAGGTATTTTGATGTGTTTGGTTCAGCTTAACAATACAACTTATAGCTTTTTGTAAGTCAAAAATCAACTTATTCTTTGAGTGGGAGAGGAGAAACTTAATTTATAAGTCAAAAATCAGCTTATATTCAGAGCTATAAATTATAAGCTGTTAAGTTATAAGTTAAAATCACTTTCTCACAGTTCTACCAAACGGGGCCAATATCATAAACCATTCACAGTCTTAGCAATTACATGTGCTGATTTAATTATAGACCGGTTAACTTTAGAAATAGCTAAAAATAAAACAGCGCCACACAAATATTATATTATATTATATTTTCACACAATAATTTGTAAGTGTACATGCTTAATGAACATGTTCTCTACATATATATATTAAAAAAAAAAAACTTTAAATATCTCTTTATTTCAATAATATTCTCATATTCATTCTTAAAATTCTAAATTTTCTTCCATCGATCCACCCCTCCTTTGCTGATGTTGTTGTCACTCTCAACCCTCCATCGCAACCATCATCGTCACTCCCAACTCATCCCTTCCATCTAAGACCTCCATAATTAACCTCAAAATTGAGTGGTTTGCGGTGGGAGAGCTTGTAGAAGTATATAGGTGTTCATGGTGGAAGGTGATCGTAAGCGGAGGAAAGGGGAGTGACGGGAGGAGAGGATGATTGTGGTGTTTTACCATTAGAATTTTGATGGAAAAAGATAAGAGTATTATGATATTTTCATTCTAAGACAGAATTATATTTTAAAAAAAATTATTATGTAACTAAGGGGAATTAGGGAAATTAATGTGTGAAAATGTAATTACCCGATTACCAACCACACCTAATCATAAGTCCAAAAAATAAATAAATAAATAAATCCCAGTGAAGTTCAGTATTGGAAGGAGGCAAGATGGACCTTGCAGTCTGTTGAAGCACCAACCTCAACATCCTGGCAAGACACCCTCATATGTTGCCTTTCTCCTTCACTGTTCCTTATATTAACCCTAACTGTACCATCCACAATCACACTGAACTTCAGTCTTCCATATATCCAATCTACACCAATCTCCTCCGCCATAGACTCATCTATAAACTCCGACATGGCATCCAAACTCGCCTCCACAATCGTCTTCTCTCTCTCATTTTGATAAAAAGGAAGCATTGATGTTGATGCGAGAGAAACGCCGTGGTAGAGAACTGAAGCATCGACTCTTTCGTAAAGGATACTAGCTTCATCATTAGGGTTTTCAACGATGAAGTTGATGTTCCAAGGAGCAGTTAGTGAAGAAGAAGAAGAAGATTTGGAGATGTCGAATGGAGAGGCTGAGATCCAAGTCACCTGAAACTTTGGTGAATAGCTTCTTGAATCCAAATAAACCATCAACATTATAAGGCTCATACTGATTGTTACTACTACTACTACTACTACTACTACTACCATGCCATGTACGCAAGGAGAAATACGCTTTGAAGCTGTGGTGGTGGTGGTGGTGGTTGGTGTGGCGGGGGTGGTGGTGGGTTGTGGGAAGACTCGATTGCCAATGCCATGTGTGGATGGGAAGAAATTTGGTGGGTAAGGGTAACGCATTACTGTTTCATTGTGATTTTCCATTGAGATAGAAATCAATAGAATCACACAGAATTTTGAGAGATGCTAAGAAAATAATAATGAAAATCTTCTAACCCTCGAGATCATAGACACAAGTAGAGACAAATATCCAGCCGGGCTAGGTTACAAATACAGCAATGCCAAGTATTATGAAAAGTTTTTTACGAAAATGATTATGAAAGATTTGTGACTTTTGAATTACACTTAGAATAAAGCACCATAAACTAATCAAGGTAATCTAAAAATCACAAATCCTTCATAATCATTTTCATGAAATTTTTTTCATAATTCTTGACCTTTCTCTTACAAATATATATATATATATATATATAACCTTAAAAAGTTTGACTCACTCCTAATCAAATCATTCCAACCTTAATCTAATAGGAATAATTTTACCTTCACTATCAATCTTACCAAAAATATAAGAGATTACTGTAATTGATTATCAAAAAAGTAATATAATTTTTAAGGGCAAATTACATATACCCCCCTCGAGATTTAGCAAAATTACAGATTCTCTCTGAGGTTTAAGAAATTACAAATACCCCCTGAATGTACTATTTGCATAACAAATTAGGAGGCAAATTGCTATGAAAATATAAATCTCATGGGGCAATTTGTTATGAAAATATAAACCTTAGGAGGGTATCTATAATTTCCGAAACCTCAGGGGTATTTATAATTTAGCTAAACCTCAAGAGAGGTATATGTAATTTGCCCAATTTTTGTTAATCATCTAATAATATTTGGACATATACATGGGTTAAATGTGATTAGTTATAAAAAAAAGTAATGATATTTAGTCATCCAATAATATTTTGACACATGTATGTTCTTAGATTGTTAATAAGAATTTAAGTAGATGTAATATTGCTCAACATGGCCTCTTTTTTTTTTTTTTTTGCCCGGATAGATTTTTTTTTTCTTTTTTGATAATATATTTTGTCCTGATAGGCTATTAAATTATTTAGACCCCTTTCATAATTATTTGAATTTAAAATATTAAAAAAATTAATTATAAAACAAATATTTTAATTTAAGCACCAGACGAACTGTATGTATATACTTTTTTTTTCTGATTTTTTATTACTTTTTCTCGTATTTTTGTAACTAAATAATATAAAAATTAAGAATATTTTTTTATAATTAGTCGGGTCCAACCTCTTTGTCACAATCTTAACCAAACATACTTTACTCAACCCACCCTTATAGAGTAAATATATTTTTCAAAATCTTAGAATTATTGGATTGGACTGGAGAGGTTGGAGGGGCCATGGCCAGCCCTCCCTACCCATAAGTCAAGTATAGATTTTTTTTATATATTTATAATTATCGTCGTTTTTTTTTTTTTTTTTTTTTTTGTTGGAAAAATGCTGTATGAAAAAAGTTTTCTTTCAATATAAAAATTACTTGAAGGGGTTAATTAACAGTTTTTATCCAAAATATAAGTATTATGTTATTTTAGTCCTAATATTTAACGTGTTAAATGTTAAGGCACCGTTTGGAGAAAGAAAGTTGGTTTGGGCTTTTTTTGGCTATTTTTAGCCCACAAAAAACAAAATAAGGCTATTTTAGGCCATAACAAACAAAACATCACATCCCAACCGCATAATCATTACCAACTCTTCACTCACAAAAAAATCAAAAAAAGTCAAAAAGCCAAAAGCCCTTCGCCAACGCAAACTTTTTAGCCAGCTAAAATAGCAAAAAAGCCAAAAAGCCAACTCAACTTCCAAACAGAGGCTATAAGTTCATAAAAGAAATATATGAAAAAATTTAGAAGATTCTTCACCTTATAATTAGTTTGTAATATTTTATTGTATATTATGCTATCAACATATCTAAGGGTAGAGAATTTTCATGAAACTTTTTAGGTAAATTTATACTGACACACTCTGAGGTTTATTGTTTATCAGTTCCTCCCTCACCATTCAGAATTACATCTCCCTCTATGAGTTAAAGTTTCATTACAAGATTCCTCCCCTCAGCAATTTAATTTTTTTAAATACTAATTTTGGCCTCACCGCATAAATTTACATTGACAAACCGCTTATATTTTAAAAATTACAATCCCCTGCCTTAAGGTTTAAGTAGGCATTAAACAAATTGGCCCCCTAAGTTAATATTAGTTGGAAAAAAATTATTTGAAAAAAAAATTAATTGAAAAAAATTATTTGAAAAACAATTTTGTTAGTAAAATTTTTAAATTTCTATTTAAAACCATGTAAACTCATTTTTTGAAATTTACGTTTTTTCATCAAAATTACAAATTGGAGACAAAAATTAATAAACCAAAAAAATATCAACAAGTTTTTATGATAGTTTAAAAATTTTTGTAAATATAAATTGAAAACTGAAAAACGAAATCACACTCCACCACGCGCTCTCAGATGGTAAAAATTCGTAAAATTAACAAATAATTAATAAGTTACCAAACATAAAAAAGATTATTAAAGATTCTTAGTTGCTATGTATGGTTTTGATTTTTAGAAAAAAAAATAAAATTAAAAAATAATTTGGTTAAAAGAATAAAAAAATTAAAAAATAATTATCATTTAAGGGTAAAAATAATTATCATTTTTAACTTTTAGGCAGATTATATACATACGTATGGTTGTTTCAATTAGTTTTGTAAAAAAATTATTTGCTAGCCACTCGAAATATAAATAATTATACAAAAAAAATGAAATAATTATTTTTTATTTTTTTATTTCTAACCAAATTAATTTTAATTTAAAAAAATTTCTAAAAATCAAACCATACATAGCCTAAGAATCTTTTGATAAGTCATTTCTTACGTTTGGTAACTTATTTAATTATTTGTTAATTTTATGATATTTTTTACCATTCTGAATCATGTTTTTGGTAACTATTTCGTTTTCTTTTCATTTTTCAATTTATATTTTCAAAAATTTAAAACCTATCATAAAATTACTTGTTTGATAATTTTGGTTTAAAAAATGGTTGTGCTCAGTTTGTAAATTGAGGAAAAAACGTAAATTCAAAAAAATGAGTTTACGTTGGTTTTTAAACAGAAATTTAAAATTTTAATTAATTAAAAATTTTTTTTCATATAATTTTTTTTCCAAATTAATTTTTTTTTCAATGAATTTTTTTTCTAACTAATACTATAACTGAGAGGGCAAATTGGTAAATGCCTACTTTAAACTTAGGAAAGGGATTGTAATTTCTAAAATGGAGGTTGGTCAATGTAATTTTACCTAGTGAAGGGCAAAATTGGTAATTTAAAAAAATTAAATTGGGTGAGGGGGGAATCAGTAATGAAACTTTAAACCTCGGGGGAAATGTAATTTCAAAAGGTGGAAGGAAGGGAACTAATGATAAATATAAACCTCAGAGGATGTTCAATGTAATTTACAACCAACTTTTTATAATATTTCTTTCATAAACCTATTATTACTGCATATTTAAATTTGGTGTCAGTCCGCATCTCTTATGTATAAAAGCTTTCAATTTAAGTCTTTCAATTTAACCAGTTTATAGGGCACAATTTAAATAACCATGGTAAAATAATATTGAACGCTACTATATATTTAGAGATCATATTGACACTAATTTAAATCACTAGGAACTAAAATTAAAACATTTTATCATTATAAATTAAATTGACACCAATTTTAAATGTCACGTTGCACGTCACATTTCTCCTTTTTAAGGCTACAAATTACTAATCAAATTTGTAAAATAAACTTATCAATTTAAATCTTTTTCAAAGGATAAAATTGCTAATTTCATTCAATTTACTTGTGACATAGTTAAGCCAGAATAAGATCTTAATTGAGTGTATATATAAACAATTCTTGCATTAAAAAACACCATTCATTAATTTTCAAATAAATTTACCATATCAATCACTTTTGAATTTTTTCACGCAAAAACAATCATTATTAATTTTAACTAGTCGCATACATCACTATTTATTTAATTTGAATCTTACTGAAACTTTATATGGACCTTTAAATTTAGATGTGCTTTTTTAATATAATAGCTAAAAACCTTTTAGGCATTTTTTAAATTAATTTTCGAGACCTAAAGTGATGGCTTTGGCACATATGAGAAAAAAAATGTTAGAAGATCCTAAAAATTTTATCTAAAATTCTACCAAATATCTCACATGGGTGTAAAAACCCACATGATATGAATCTCACCTCATGTCAGACATTTGAATAGAAATTTGGATAAAAATTTTTAAGGTCTCTAAGCATTATCCACTGAGAAAATATCTCTCCAAATGACAAAGAACAGGGTAATGTTCAATCCATAGAACCCATTGTCTTACAAACAATCAGTACTAAACAGTCACAGAAGATCAAGACTCTTCATAAGTGAAGCAAAGTGTTGGAATTACTAAAATCTAATAGAAAGATCACACTAATGACAAGAATTTTGCATTTTTCTGTGTTACTAAGTTCAAAATTATGTGTTGTTTTTCTTTAGCATTACTCCGTTCCCCCTCAAATATCCTTCTTGTTTTCGAGTCCATGACGAGAACAGAACCAGGAAACATAGCCCTATTTTTTTTGACCAGTAAGGAAATTCTTCATAACACTAGCCCAATAAGCATAATTGGCACAATGAAGTTTACATCTGATGCTTGGATTTTAGTGTCTGTCATTGAATAAACAGAAAGATGTAATAAATAGACAAGTATAGGCTTTAGTGCAATAATCCTGAAACAGGTTTAAATAGAAATACCCAAGTTGAATGAGAAAGAGAGAAAGAAAGAAAAACTGGAGTGAGAATCTAATGCGAAGTAGATAGTTTGCGAAATCAGATAGAGATCGCAGAGAAAGAAAGAGACTTTGGCGAGGTAAGATCGACCAACGAACGCGGAGTGCTGGAGAGAGAAAAGTTGCGACTCCGAGGTGACAACCGAGAGGGCTGATGTGATGACCCAGACAAACAAAAAGTCCACACTTAGGGCTGATCACAAACTAGAAGAAGCAAAGGAGGGG